ACCGCACGCATTTAGTTCCACGGCTCTGGCCGCGTCAGAGATGGAAGACGGAGGGGGAGGGGGAGGTGGGGGGGTTACCTTGAGCAAGGTGCCCGCCCAGAGGCCCAGTGGCACCATGAAGTTGCTAGCGTAGAGAAGGGTGAGGAGGAGCATGCCCACGGTCACGGTATCGCTCGAGTAGTAAGAGGCCTTCGGGTCTTTGAAGAACGGAAGCAGCAAGGACACCCACATGACCAGGAACCATTCGGCCAGGCCCAAGCAGCCGCTCAAAGGCTTCCAGAGTAAGGCCCTCGCGGTCCACCCCCGCAAGGCCGGCGGCGTGCCTGAGACGGCGAGCGCCAAGTACAGTGCAGCACTCGAGGCCATGAGCCCGCCTTTGCATACATTCCAGTCGAAACACTTTTCCGTCCGGATGCGCAGGAAAATGCCGTGCAGGAAGCCCGTTCCCGTCCCCGCCATCACCGTGGCCAGGCTCATGCCAGAGGACCAGGCCAAGAGGGGGCATAGAACCATTAAGGCCGCGCCCTTGTTCCAGCGGTGGCCGCTGGGCCATGACACATCCACTTGCAACAACCAAGGTGGCTGCCGCGGTCTTTCGCCCAGGAAGCGGCCCAGTGCATTTTCCAGAGGCCATTTCAACCGAGGTGGTAACCAGCGAGGCAGTCGCTCCTTCACTGGGTAAGGTGCTTGGCGGGGGGTGACAGATCTGCTTTCATCCCTCTTAGGGGCAAATAGTTGATACTCTTCTGTGCCGATCCGCACCATATTCAATGGAAGCAAGGCTGGATCTGAACGGACTTTGGAAGCGCCTTCCCATGAGGGGAGCATGCGCACCTCGGAGCCTCTTTCCTGCAACCCCCCATTGAGAAGGATATCCGTGGCTGAGCGATCGAATCGCTTGCCTGTCATCATGGCAGAGAAGTGTCCTCAGATTTCAGCTTTTGGCTTGCTCCTCAGACGTTCCCTGGGACCAATCCTCGATGCATGTCCTATCGGAAAGAGTGAGGAAAGTGGCATACAGGTAGTGAATTTTAAGTACTCTTTGATGCGACAGGAGTGCGCACCTCCCATGCAGTCTTCGCATGGATGACTGATTATCGTTTTTCTCCAAGAATCTATTTTCCAACGAGCCTGTAAGCCTGGCTAGGGGGGCAGTATTCCTACATTACCCCAGAAGCGGCGGGCGAGCTCGATCATCGACGATCGTCCTCGCTGTTCTTGCGAGCGTCGCTCATTTCTTCTACAGGACTTTTTCGACCAGGGCCTAGGAGTGCTTTACTTCATCACGGGTACCCATAATTCGACGTCTTATTGCCTACCGAAAGCCTGGAATATTTATATAAATAGCATGTTGAGTCAAGGGATTGATTTCATCCTGAAGGACACAGTGATATCCGTTCTGGAAAATCGGGGATGGGCCGCGTCTTCAAGGGTGAGCAGGAGGCTTTGCTTTAATAGGAAGCCGAGGGTTTTCTTCCTTTATACCTTGAAAAGGAATCAGAATTGAAAAGAAATATTGAGAAAAAGCAAAGAAAAGTCGAATCATTGGGATGCGTAGTCACAGTGCGAGCTATCGTGGTTTTCAAAAAAATCTTAAACGCTAGCGTAGAGAGAAGCATGCAACTGACCTTACGTTAGACTATAAAGTTACATATACACTGTAGATGGTCGAAATTGCTCTCTTTGTGAAGTTTTGTGTACATCCTCATACTCTTATGCCTGCACGGGCCTACTTTCTTATTCACACTTTTGATTTAATCGCTCAGGTTACAGAAGCTTTACAGGGCCCTTAATGCTTGTAGACTTCCAGATACTGCTGCTGGGCCCACGTATATGGCTCCATCCAACAACCCAACCATCACAGCCAGGAGTGGAATTAAGCGGCGAAAGAGGAAATGGCGATGGGCAAATGAACGACCGAAGCCCTTCCAAGCCGTCAAAGCGAAGAGGACGAAATGAAACCCCAAAATACTTCGAACGGATGAGAGACCGCGCCAAGTGACGCGGGCGAAGGCGTTTTTTAAGCAGAACAATAGAATAGCCACGTGCATTTTGGCACGGTGCGGACCCAGACCTAAGCTGCCGACCACGAAATGCAGCAAGACAAGCATTCCTGCGTTGGTAGCCAGCCACAGAGTGCGCCTCGCATAGCACCCAGTCGCTTCTAAAGCTCCGACCACGCCCGTGCTGATGCTTGAAGGAAGAGCCAGATCGAGCCACCGTGCGAGGGTTTCCAGTCCAAGGGTGGAGGCCCGGGGGAGGGTCGGCCGGTCTGCGCCGGGGAAGCGCTTGACGTGGTGCTGCACCACCCTGGAGACGGTCGAGGAGGGCGTGGGCGATGGGCCCAGACAGTCTCCATACAGGAGATCGTGGATGGGCACGCGCCACAGAGCGCCTAGGAGGAGGGAGGGGCCGCGCCTGCCCTCCATTTCCTCTTCCAGCGACGCCACCCAGACAAGAAGACCGAAGGCGACCAGGCTGACGGGCAGCAAGTAAGTGAACAGGGCCTGGTCCCCCGCCCGGCGCGCCTCCTGAGCCTCCAGGCGCCCCGCTGCCCGGCACGCCCGCACCGCCATCAAGTCCTTTCCTCTCTCGCGGAGCCCCTCGAGGCGCCGCAGCCGCTCTGCCTCCGCGGCGCGCCTGCTCTCTTCTCGACGTTGCCGCCTCTCGTGCCCCCGGCCTTCCAATGTTCGCTGCAACTCCACCATACGCACCGCCCCCGCGTGTCGGCGCAGCTCCTCCTTGAAGGCCCCGAGCAAGGACACTGGGCCGTCCATTTCTACAGCTTCGCGATGTACGCTCAAAAGACCCGAACCCCCGCCCATCACAACCATCCCTCGCTCTGTCCCTTCCCGGACGCCGGTCAGTAAGGTATGGCTAAGCAGAGAGCCATTCCCAACCTCTTCGCCTCCCACGCCGCCACCGTCTCCCTTCTGCTTTACTTTCGAGTCTCGTGTGGCCCCCTGTCTATCCTCCTCAGCCTCCTCCTGGGCCCACACGACCTCCGTCTCCGCCCTTCCTCCTGTCGCCGTCCTGGTGTCGGTCTCCTCCGAGGGGTCGCCCGCGGCTTCCTCCCTCCTCGAGAGAATAGCCCGCTCGGACGCCCCCTTTTCCCCCTGGTCTCCCGATTTGACTATCTCCTTGACCTCCTCCCCCCCCACTCTATCCCTGATGAGCTCCACGTCTCGGAAGGGTGTGGGCTTCCAGGACACGGAGCCGGGCCCCAAGGTTAGGAACGGGGCAGAGACCTCGTCCTGAGAGAGGGCGCCCAAGATGGGGCTGTCCTGCGCTTCGAACCAGCGCTTCAGAAGGCTCTCACCTTCTTCCACAAGAGCACGCGCCTGTCGACTCGCAGCCTCCCCCGTTCCTCTACAGTACTCTCCGACTTTCTCAAGCGACCCCACCAAGCGCATCTCCTGGTCGCCGGCAGCGGACGGAAGGGACAGAACGAGGGACGTGGGGCTCATGCCCCTCTGCACGCCAAGACCTAGGGAGCACGAATGAGCCTGGTGGCTGAGTCGCTGCCGGGTCGCGCCTAGGGCCTCCTCGCACCGCGCCATGGCCGCGGTCAGCCCCCGAACCAGCTCGTCCTGGTACTCCTCTCTTTCCTCCACCTCCCAAGCCTCCTCCTCCAGTGGGTCCGCGATCTCTCGCATCCAAAGCGGGAAGTCCGGACTCTCGGCGAGCTGCGACAGCCTGCGCAAGGCGTCGCGGGCTCCCAGGGCCTCGTCTCGGGCCAGAGCCCTGTCCAGGGCTCTCCGCGCGCGCTCGGCCTGCTCCCTGACGTCTCCCTCCCGATCGAGACCCGCCGCATGGCCTTCCAGGCACCACTTTACGATTTTATTGGTGAAGGTGAGGGGCGTGAGGACAGCGGCCAATATTTGTCGGGAGACACACGTGTGGCCCGCCCCACTTCCAGTCCTTCTCAATCGCTCCCGTGCCCGGCAAAGTCTGAAGGCAAAGAGGAGGACGGCGAAGAGGAATAGCATTGGAATAATGGAAAAGCATAATGACGGCTTTCCAACAACAGGAAACAAAATGGCGTTCGACTCCTCCACTGTGGCAGGGACCTCTCCGATACCGGGGGGATCGGAATGGAAAGCATCTTCATGTGCGGACTCAGGAGCCACATGCCGCGTTGCCAATGATTTTCGAGCCGGAAAAATCTCCACGTGTCCTGTCTCGGCATCAACCTTGACCAGCCGTGCAGAAGAATGAGCTGACGTCGAGCTCAGATGAGTGTTATCCTCGTCTTCCACTATTACGAGGCGGCCCCTCTTCATGATGGAAGGCGCGATAGAAGGCTACTGCAAAGCTATCATTTTCCCTGTAGACAGCGAAGGGTAGGACATAGAAAGATAGGACAGGCACAAAATAAGAAGAAGGGAGGACTTTACCAGTGTGGTGCGATTCGATATCAGCACGTCACACAACCCCACGTCTCTACGCTCGAAGAGGAGGCTCCTTGAGGGGAACACGCCCCTCGTCGCCGCCCGCATCGATGCCTCCCACAAAACACCACCGAAAAGGCGGTCACAAAGCTGCTCGGGGACGCCCGCGTTACGATTTGAGACGAGGAAATTGCGAAGAGGACGCACTAGCCATCCGCGGGGAACCACGCGTGTATTTTCTGGGCTCTGTGTCGTGAAGAGCCCGTGCCTTTCTCGTGCCGGTGCTGTCCGCCGGCGGGGTTCTTCCGCACGACTTGGTGATGATGGTGCCTTTATGCAGCATATCTCCAACCATTCCCAACCAATGCGTCATCATTACCAATACTAATTCCTCGGCTTACTCATACTATTGCAATGCTATTTCTCGCGCAGATTGACTGCATGATCATGCACTGAGGCGTGCCGCCAACGTTGCGCTGACGCTTCTTATCCTTCTATACCTTGGATGCCAGCACTCCTAGACCGACTCATACCATGAGCGGTAGTGGCAAAGCTTCCATCGCGTGTCAGGCACGCGCTTTTTATGGTGTGGGGAAGTACGAAAAGGCGTTGGAATGCCTTCAACAGCTGTCTATGCAGCCTGGGGGAGGGGACGACCCACGCCTGCAAGGCAATTTGGTGTTGACAGAACATGCCAAGGGCGGTTTCAAACGCCCTCTGATTATAAAAGATCGTATTACGACGTTGAGAAACTCTCTTAAGACACGGTCTGAAAAGGTTGGCAGTGTCCAAGGAGCTTTCAGGGCCAAAGAATCCCTTCGCCTCGACGCGGAGGACGAGGACGGCGACGAGGAAGCAGACGACACCGAGACGGACACCTCCGTCCTGCTCTACAATCTTGCAGCTCTGAATTTTCACGAGAAGCAGTACGGAGCGTCTCAGCATATATTGCACGCCTTGTTCGCCCGCATCGAAGTCCTGGAAGAACCTTTAGCGGTGCAGGTCTGCTTCCTCTTCCTCGACGTGCTCCTGCATAGCGCGCGGGGCAATATACACACAGTAAAAGATCGTGAACGCCTTTCCCACAACACGGCTGCACTTTTGGCGTATCTGGAGCGACCGCACGCATTTAGTTCCACGGCTCTGGCCGCGTCAGAGATGGAAGACAAGAACGGCAACGGCAGTGCGGAGAGCCTCGTCGGCTCGGGCAAGGGCCTAGAGACGGCTGAATTTACCTTCCGCCTGCACTTGTACAAGGCAAAGGTGCGACTGCTTCTGAGGGATATCAAGTCCTCAAAAAAGGAGCTGAAAAGCGCCCTGGAGATATTTCAGCGGGAGTTGCGGCCCAACCCGGCAGACCCTTCGGCGTCGGGTAAGGGGGGCGCGCTCGGGGGCGGAGACTCGGATGACGAGGTGGCCACAGCCGCTTCCACGGCCACCACGGCAGGCAACACTCTGATGGGGGGATATGATGCCTCGCTGCCGCCCGCCGGAGTTGCAAATGTGGCGGGCTTGTACCTGAAGGCCAACCTGGAGTACCTGCGGCAGAACTACCGGAAGGCGCTGAAGCTCTTGGCCTCCTGCCACCGGGGGGAGGACAGCGCGATGGGCGCTGCCTACCTGAATGACATGGGCTGCTTGCATTCGAAGATGGGTCTGCACTCAGTGGCCCTGCAATACTTTCAAAGGGCGGTGGCCTCCTCAGGCCAAGATCGACCGGCCAGCGCCAACGGCTCCCCGGCAGGCGAGACCCCCGGCATGCCCCTCTTGCCCGGCGGCCGGCCCCTGGAGACGGATGGCCGCGTCCTCCCGCATACGTTCTGCGAAATTGCCTACAACACAGGCCTGCAACTCCTCATCCTCGGCCGCTCCGTACAGGCTTTCCGGTGCTTCGAGAACGCCTCTTTGGTCTTCTACAACCGCCCGCGCGTCTGGCTGCGGATGGCCGAGTGTTGCGTGCACGCGTACCGGGAGGAGGAGGGCCGGCGCGAGGGTCCGGTGCGCGACCGCTTGGTCAGGCGGGTGGTGGGTCGGGGCCCGCACCGGCGCTTGGTGCTAGCGACGAGGAGGGGCGGCGACTGCCGCGAGTTTCAGGGCGGGGACGGCGCGGGAGGAGCAAGAGGCGGTGGTTTAGATGGGAGCGTCGGGGAGGAAGCACGGGGCCGGTGTACGCTTATTTATGCCGTCAAATGCCTGCAAAACGCGCTCTTCCTTCTCTCAGTCGCCTCCCAGGGGGGCGGCCGGTCGCGGCTGCCCATGACCTCTCTGCTGGGCGGAAGTAAATTGGCAGGGGCTGGGGAGACAGGCGGGGAGGGTGGAAGCCTGGACACAAGCAACGGGAGTGTGGGTGGCGGTGAGCAGCACGAGACCTCGGCACTGGGGGGCAGCACGGGTGCCGCATATGCAAGCGCAGACAAGAAAAGGGGATCTTGGCAGGAGCAAGGCGACGCTCAGGTAGAGCAGGTCGTCCTTCTGACGCTCTCCTACGTCTATCTTTGCCTGCACGAGCCCGTCTTGGCCCTGCATTACGCAGAGCTCCTCCTCACCCGGGGGGCGGGATGGGCGGAGGACGAGGGCAATCGAGTGGCCGCCCGTACCTACGCGGCGGAGGCCCTGTGTGTCCTGGGCCGGCCTGACGAGGCCTTGAAGCACCTGCTGCCGGGTGGCACTCCGCTCTCCGAGGAGGCAGGGGTAAGCTCATTGCAGAAGCAGTGCCAAGCCGAAAGCAAGAGGGTTGTGGTAACGGCGGAGTCCTTCCTACCGCCCGAGCATTTCGCTGCTCGTGCCCGATGCGCCCTTCACCTCAATCTTGCCAACGTCTACCTGCTGCAGAACAACCTGGCGGCTGCCGAAAAATGTGTCGGATTGGGTCTCGCCGCCTGCCCAACCAGTCCGGACGCCCTGCGCTGCCTGGTATTCATCCTGCTGCGCACTGGGAACACGTCCGCGGCTCTGGAAGCTCTCAAGTCCAGGAGGCCCCTGAGCTTGAGCGTGCCTCCTTCACCCAGCACAATGCCGCCACTGCCCGTGCATCGGTAATTAAGGAAAAGAGAGAGAGTTGGATGAAAGAGAAGTGCTTTAAGCTGACGTAACGCTATTGCTTTCGTGCACTTGGCGGGCAACGGTTTGTAATTCCTCACACGGCACTTCCTCGGTAAATTCTACTTTGATTTGTTTATGAGGGCCTTTGGTCTTCTTTCTCTAACATTGACTCCCTGTTGAACCACGTGTCGAGCTCTTCATCTCATCGCTCTCCTACCAGGAAACAGAAGCTGTCAGCGTCCCTCGTTTCCAACACGGGCGTCCTTGCCACCCCCCCCTACGGGGTACATGACACTGTACGCCAGCGTCTGCGGTTCGCTGTTGACCTGGTGCCAGACCCAGGCTGGGTTGAAGAGGACGTCGCCGGGGCCCATCCAGACGGTCTCGAACAGGCCGGCCACCTCGTGCTCCTCGGGTGTCCGGTTCTTCGTCCGGTCCACCGCGTCCAGGCGAAACGAGCTGCTCAACCTTCCCTTCGTCTTGCGACCCTTTGCCACTTGTTCCTCTGTCAGGGCGGCCAAGGCCCAGATTTTCGCACCCGAGGCGACCACCATGAAGTTGTGGTACTCGTCTTGGTGCGCATCGGACTTCATCTCGAAGCACCGCCCAGCGGCAGAAGGCGCTGCATTTCCTGTGACTATCATGTTGCTCGACATGGGCTTACAACCTTGATGTATCGAAGCAGCGAAGTCCGCGAGAGCGCTGTGTCCGGTTTTGGTGCGGAAAGCAAACAAATCCTTCTGCATGAAGCGGGCCCACAGCCGAGTCTGCAGCGGTTTCTCGCTCATAATGCTGGCAATACGACCCCAGTTGCTAGGCATGCTTCCGGTACTGTCTTCCGCCTCAATTGTTCCGTTGTGATTGCTGCTACCGCTCTGGCTCGAGTCGCTGCCCCGGCTGCCTCCCTTCTTAGCCGTCGCCACTCTCACAGCCGCCGCGGTAGGTTTGCGAACGCGCTTGTGGGGAACCCCCCAGTCACGCAAAGGCTGAAACCCGATTCCTGTCTTGTCATCCGCGCACACCTTGACATCCTCTGGGAGGCACTGGAGCTGATCGGGCGTGAAGCTCTTCACGGTCTCCCGGAAGAGACCCCGCAGGAGCAACGGTCGTTGGTGTAACCTGGCGTAGCGGACGGCGCGCCGCGCTTCCTCCACGTCCTGAGTCTCGAGTTTCAAAACGAATGAGCTTTCATCAACTTTGGTGCCCTCGGTTTGTTTTTTAGCAGGAAGTCTCGAGGATGCGGCCGGAGAAGTTGGAAGACCTGCAGGCAAAACCAAAGCCCGCCTATCGGAGCCCGAACATTCCGGTTTACAAACATCAAGTGCAACGGCAGCGGCCACCGCGGTAGAGGAGTGCGATACGGAGGATTTTTCGAAATCCAATTTGACGCAGCTAGGATTTTTGACTGCAGCTTTGGGTGCATGTTGGCTTGGACAGTCTTCGGCTGTTGCAGCGGCCGGGCTTCTGATGGTCAATGCGTTCTTGAAAGGTGTGCAAGGAGGCAAGCTCGACGAAAGTCCGGTCCTCCGTGCTGCCGCAGTTCGCCGGCTCCGAGTGACAGTGGAGCCCCCCATTCTCGTGGTACTGTGTGGAGGATTGTGAAAGTATTGCGCTGTGAGACCGCGGGCGAGCGACCAGCCTCGGGGTCGGCGAAAGCCTCTCAACCTGGGCGACGGCCGGGCTGTCTCCCTTCTACCCTGCCTGCCTCCCTCCCAGGACTGGACTACGGACATGCTTACCGCGCCCCTTCCCGTATCACATCTTCTCTATCATTAGGAGCCGGGAGGAAAGATTGCCAGAACCCTACAGCTGAGAGGGTTGAGGGAGGGCAGAGACAGCGGCGCATAGCACCTCAAGTCCGAACAAGACTGGCGAAGTGAGGTAAGGAGCAGGATCTCTGCCGTGCAAAATGTTCGAGAAAACAACATTTTTGGCCGAAGGGTATGCATAAAAACACTGAGAGGGGAATGATCTTGAATTTTCTGGTTACGTTTTAATATCGTGGAGGGTTAATCATGTCCCTCGAGAACCTACAGCAGATGACCAAAGATAGGCTCCCCTAAGAATATACACGCAATTTATTTTATGGGTTTCACGTCTTCCAAGCTCCCACAGTGATCCTCGTCAAGTGATCAAAAGGAGGATGCTGAGAACTAATGTTCTGCAAGGCGAAGTGCACCGGTCTTGGGTGTGGCTGAGTCCTGCAGGTGCCAAGCACGTGATCGACTTATGGCATGATACAGTAACTGGCGTACGCTCCGTTGCAGTGGGCATGGAGGAAGTGCCCGGTTCCATGGGCAGCTCACCCTTTTTCTCCGCCGAAGCGCACCACATAAATTTTACCGTGGGGCAAGACCAGTGTCGGGGAATGGTCATCATCGAGAAAGCGGGTCTGTTCTCCTTTCGATATACGTGCGTGGTCAACGGCCGGCCGCTGAAGGCGACCCTGCAAGGGCTGGCGGATGAGGACGAAGAGCGCTTCAACATAGCTATCCTGGGGGCAGCCAACGCCTACAGCAGCAAGGAGAAATCGGTGACCTGGTACGAGTTGACGGTGACGCGCGGGTCGGACGGGGCTCGCACCTTAGTGCACAGACGCTATCGAGAGTTTGTCTGCCTCTTCGAGCAGGTTCACGCGGCTTTCAAAGGCCACCACTTGCGCTCAAGCCTGCCCGAACTCCCGGGCCGACAGCTGAAGCTGCTCGTCGACCACAACGACACTGCCTTCGTGGAAGAACGCCGGCTCCTCCTTGAGACGGCGCTGGGGAAGCTGCTGAGCGTGCCGCACGTGGGTGCCATGGTGCCAGTGCAAGTTTTTTTGGGCTTTTTCGATCGGCTGAAGGAGCACAGCGTCATTTTCACCCAGCGGGACCTGGGCCTGAGCATCACGCGGACGGTGGTGCCCGAGGAGTCGATCGTGGTGACGCGCGTGAAGGAGGCGGGGCCCGGGGGGCAGAAAAGCCGGGTCATGGTGGGGGACACGCTCTCCAAGGTGGGCGGCGAGCCCGTCTCCAAGTTCGGGGGCTTCGATGGCGTCGCCTTTCAGGTCTCGAGGGGGCTCCGGCCCATCGTCATCCATTTCCTTGAACCCGTGGACAGGAACCCTTCGCACGATTTCCTTCCCCCCGGGGAACCCCTCGACATCCCACCCGTCCACGAGCAGCAGCGCCAGCGAAAAGCCGCGGCGCCGCACGCACAGTCTCCTGTCGCCCCCCCGCCCGTGGTCCCCACCCCCTCGGGCCTGCCCACGCGACTGGCGGCAACCACGTCGGTGGCGCTCGGGGAGGAAGCATCGGGCGCCCCGACAACCCCGCCCGTAGCCCTTCCAGCCCAGTCTAAACCGCCTGTGGCGGCACTCCCACGCGTTGAGATCCGAGTTCCTAGTCGCGGGCCTGCATCGCGCCCCCGTCCCAAGCTGGGTCCTTCCGAGGATGAGGTGGAACACTTGAAGATCGAGCGCATATCCAGCAAGCGCGAGGGCCAGGACCCGAACAAGTTGCAAAGCGTGCTGGAAGCTGCTTTAGTGGAGGAGGAGAGGCGGTCGGAGGGACAATTGAACGGCTCGCTGAGCACGTCCTTGTCCTCGGCGGGAGTGGGGGAGCCTAAAGATCCTCTTTTCGAGCTGGAGACGAGCGGCCGGGGCGCCTCAGAAATGGGCTCTACGACAGAGAACAAAGTGGCCAAAGGGCAAGCGACCGTGCCGACAGCGACGCAAGACAATGAAACAGAGGGAGAAGGGAGCGGTGCTGAGAATCCCGCGGCCCCTATCCAGGCGTCAGAGTCGAGCTCGGGAGACACACTGGCCGAGGAAGGGCCAGACTCCGATGCATTGTCCCACGACCCTTCTGAACCTCTAGCTGCGCTTGCGCTTGACACGCAGGAGCTTGGAGAGCAGGAAAATGCTGAGGATGGGCCTGGAGTCACCGTGGAGGAGCCGCATTCTCCAGTATCCGCGCCGCCTCCTGTAGCTCCTGCCCCTCCCGCTTTGCCTTCTTACGAACCTCCCCCATCCATTCCTGCCGCTCAACCTGCCTCTGTTTCCTTGATCATCTCTTCTACCAGCTCTAGCGTTCCCTCTTCTACATCCCACGACCCTCCTCCATCCACTTCTGCAGTCTCCCTTGCCCCTGCCTCCACTCTTCGTTCTCTCTCGCCGCCTCTCCCTGTCATTTTCCCAACCTCGAGCCCGCCGACCACTACCCATCCGGTGCGTGCAGTTTGTGAAGCGGAGGAAATGGCGGCGGCGGACGTTACCTCCAAAATCTCCCACTTGACGGATCAGCGTCATGCAACGGAAGATACCCTTGGGGGCGGTGCTTCCCGGGTAGGAAAAGATGAAGCCATAGGGGCGGGACCCATCGATTTGACAGCGCCAGCGGATGTCGACGCCCACACGTCTCAGACGTCAGGCGTGCATTCTCAGTCTCACGACAGCCCCCCTTCCGTGGTGGCCCACTCACACGATCACCTGTCCCCACGCCAGCTCCATCACGACTCCCGGCTCAAGACGCCGCCACGGCTTGAGAAGGCCAAACTGGAGGAAGAGGGGGATGTCGCGGGGGGAGCGGAAACTAAAGAAGAGCTAGTGCCGCCGTCTCCTTTTGAAGACTATATGTGAAGAACAGTGGACATATTGTGGGCGCAGGCAGAAGGGTTGTAAGTGGATATTGAAGGAGAAAGTACAGGCGCGCAAAAACAATGAACACATAGAAAGCTCATTTCGCAACACCTTTTCTTTGGAAGATTGACTTATCCTGTCTTTCTACTTGCAACCTGCGATTTGAACAGGTAAGTTTCAGCCCAATCGCCAATACCTCCGTTGATAAATCTACACCTATCGGATGCACGCGACGCGCGTAGGAATCCCAGGACTCGTACAAATATGACCCGCCCACAGAAGCAATGTCAAGCCAGGCACTTGCGCTCGCGTTTGCCTCAAGCAGACCCTGACCATTTCCCAGCTTACTTCCGGCCCCCCCTGGAGCGAGTCACGAGCTCCAAGACGGTAGACGAGCCCGCTGCGCCCAGATTGTAGGAGGCAAGAGTCTGTGCATCCTTCAGAAACACCCCCTGCTCCGCATTTCGCAACTGCATTTTGTTCGGCGGCATCCCTCCTAGGAGGGGCGAGAGCTGCTCCTTCACTTCCCTGACCGTAGACATCACACTCCCGATCTCCAGCTTCACAAGCTGTCCCTTCAAGTTCCAGGTCGCGGCGCTCTCGTCCTGAGGCGCCTGTATGCTGATGGAACCAGCCCCTGTATTCGCAGAGGCATACGCGGACTCGGAAAGCAAAGTAGGCTTTTGCTCCTCCTCCGAGACCTTCTCTTTCTCCGCCTCTCCGACGACCAAATTCGAGGCGCCCAGGGTCGGTATGATGGGAACAGGCGGCCTTGCCGGCGGCGGCGGCTGCTGTGGCTGCTGCGCTTGGTGTTGCTGTTGCTGTTGCTGTTGCTGTTGCTGCGCCTGTGCCAAGGGTGGTGGTGGCGGTTGAGGCAGACCACGAGGGGGGCCTGGCGGCGGGCCCCCAGGAGGCCCGCGTGGCGGGGCAGGGAAGCTGCTTGCTCCGGCCCCGCCCGCCAAGGTGTTCTTGAGCAGAGAGGAAGATACCGGGGGGACGGGTCCTCGAGCTTGGGAAGGCGCCGGGGCTGGAGGCTGTGCGAAGGAGTTGGTTTGCTGGGGGAAGCCCGGGCGTGGCTCTGAGGAGGCCACTGGAGACGGCCCCGGCGCCCTGCCCGGCCCTAACGTCCCCTGCCCCCCCGTGCCACCTTGCCAGATCATGCGCTGATTCTCCTCCTGTCTGGCTCGGAAACGTTCCTGGTCCGCGAGGATCTGCCGTTCCTCCTCCTCCGAGGTCCCGAAGATGTCCGTCCTCTTCTTGGCGAAGCTCCGCACGTTGGCCGCGATGTCCCCCCCCTCTGCTAGCGCCGACTCCTTCCTCTTCTCCAGAGCCCGCCGCTGCTCGTCTCGCCACCGAGGGTCTAAGAACTGGATGCGCATGTGCTCGCCCACGTCCGCGATCGGGACTTCCTTGCCGGTTACCGGGTCCAGCATCACCTCCGGTCTCGCCGCTCCGCCCCCGGCCGCCACGCGCGGCTTGTAGGAGGACACCACCTTGATCTCGCCCTCGTCCAGGTCCATATCCTCCTCCCCTTCCTGCCCCGGCCCTCTTTCTTCCCCCGCCGCCGGGCGCGGAGGCGGGACTGGCGGTCGTGGGGGCGGGGGGAGGGGCAGCGCTTCTTCTTCTTCCTCCAACTCCATGTCCTCGCCCTCGTCCTCTGACACCTCTCCGTTCGCGCGCCCCCCCCC